GCGTTCTACCGTACAGCCAGTAGAGTAAACATATCTTCACAAGGGAAGGTTCAAAGGGTGCGGTACCCCCTACCTATCCTATGCAGGGATCGACCGTTGAACACAGTTGTTTCCGATTTCAAAATACCCTGAAAATCAATTTTTCATTCATGTGGAGGATTGTTGGAAAAAATAGCTTAAAATGGCATGTTAAGTGGCTATTTTGTGGTACAATTATCAGTGGGGTCCACTTCCAATTTGGGTCGGGTCAAAGTGGATTCGGGTTCTTCGTAGTGAGACGAAGAGATTGATATATTGTACGCTCAAAACGGATAATGGGTGAATGAGATATTGATTCTCAAAGTAGACCCATTGAGTTGCAAAAATGAAGGGAAAAAGTGAGCTTTTGTCCCACATTGGTTTGGGAAGAGGATTTGCCCCACTATTTATACAAGAGTCTTTTAGAAGCTTATTGAATGTATAGCATAGAGGTTCTCTCTTGCGCGAAAGGTTGGGGGGTGTTACGGAGTTAATTCAAACTTTAAATATTGAATTAAAACCCATGTTTAATGGTTGCTCTTACAAGAAGGTGTAAGGGTGCCCTTTAAGTGTGCCTTATTAAAAGCTATTTAATCCTTCACCCCTATATAATTCTAGCCTAGCCTCAAAACTCTCTGCCTCTACTAGCTGAAACATTGAATCGTCTGTAGCCTAGCCTCAAAACTTAGCCTCAAAACTCTCTGCCTCTACTAGCTGAAACATTGAATCGTAGCAAGTTTTATCCTGGGAAGCCTAGGCTACAACACTCCTAGCACTTGTGGGAGGTAGCAAATAAGGTTTTAAGGAAAGAGTGATGCTTGACTCTTGCTAGAAACCAACCCCAAACACGAGTCATTCTCTTCATCTTTCCACGCTCCTAGCACTTGTGGGAGGTAGCAAATAAGGTTTTAAGGAAAGAGTGATGCTTGACTCTTGCTAAAAACCCAACCCCAAACACGAGTCATTCTCTTCATCTTTCCTTCCCGTTTTCTCTACGGAGGAAAATAATAATTCTTTCGACCCCTAATATTAGCTTCAACTGGCCTAGAGATTTAAGGCAGCTCCATTCCTAAAGCTAAGGATCAAACCCTTGACCTTTAGTTAATTAAGAATGGATGAATCCTTTCCACTCAACCACACCCTCCAAATTAGTGTATAAATATATGATAATTGTTAACATCATCTATATAATTTGGTATCTCCATGTTTATAAAATCAATATATTCAGCTAATAATAGAAACTTGCTAATTTTTAACTAAATATCTATTAAAAGTATATTACAATCATGATTACATGTCAAACACTCAATTTACAAATCAATACCTTTAAGTTTATTTACCTATAGTTCACATATTATGAATTCGTATTTTTAAAAATAAAAGATAATAATTAATAAAAATTCATACTAACTTCAAATAATATTTTAAACCACACAACAATAAAATAGTATTTTTTTTTTTTGAAAGCCACTAAAATAGTATTTAAATTCTTTATCTTTATAACCATGTCTAAAATCTAAGTATCAATTATTTTATAAATCTCCAATAGTCATCCGATCCATTTATATTTTTTTTCAAAGGATCCTGCGCGGCATTTATTGGAAATACGTTGAAATAGAGTCTGGCGGACCAGAGTCCGGATACATAGCTGCTGAATAATTAAAGGCCGAAGTGGCTAAAACATGTGCTAAACAATTATCTGATCTAGGAACAAAACTGACTGAAACATAATCAAAGGAAATCATCCGGTTTCTGCAGGTGTCAATGGCATAGCCGAGGTACTAACGAGGTGTATCCTTCGCAAGTGATAAATATTGTTGTAGTGACAGACAATCCCTTAGGATGTCTACCGATCTCTCTCCACGATCCCATAACCAAGATAACACTTCTTTACATGCAATTGCTTCTGCCATAAGCGGGGAAAAGCAGTCTATCAATGGTGCCTGTAAAGCTGAGATATACGAACCCTGTTCGTCTAGGAGAATTGCCCCAACAGCGGCCTTATTTGTGGCATGGAAATACGCCGCATCAAAATAACATTTGTTCCGTATGGTTCCATGAGCTATCCGTGGGGAGATGGCCATGTGTGTTGCGGCAGTCACGGCAGCAGGTTGCAAATCCACTCCTTGGCGCTGCTCGGAGGTTGCCGTGGCCAATCTATCCCGAGACGGTTGGTGCTGCGTGCGGTCCGGGTGTGCTATTTGCCATGCCCGGATCCCTGCGGTTCCGGCTGCAATTATCTTTCGTGGTCTGGGCAAGCATGCATCCCACACAGCTCCATTCCTCGCCCGCCATATATAATATAACAGGCTTACTGCAAAAATAATTCCATCATCATCTAGAATATTCAATATCTCATTAAACCAAACATGGAAAATATCTGTGATAGTATTGGGGATTGGAAGGTGAGATTGTGCCCAAATGTTCCTTGTATAATCACATCTAACCAAAGAGTGCATAACATCCTCATGCATAATCCCACACATAGCACATGTTGGGCTAATCTCCACTCTCTTTATAATGAGGTTCCTTTTTGTGGGTAATATATCATTCAAGGCTCTCCATAAAAATGTTTTCCATCTCGGGGGTACTTTGAGCTTCCATAATTTGGGCCATTTATCAAACATCCCTGTCGTTTGAACATAATTCCCCACTACTTGTCTGTAACCACTTTTAACCGAGTATTCACCTGTTATATCACCATACCAATACCACATATCCTCATAATCCGGTGCCACAGGTATTTTCAATATTCGTGTCACATCCTCCGGAATGAAAATATCAGTGAAAATATCATGATTCCATGTCGCCGTTTCCTGATCTATTAACCCCATAACAGTTGCCTGCGCCAAGTATGGTGGTTTCTCAGTTATTACTTTCGCATTATTTTCATCCTGAAGCCATGGATGATCCCATATAAGAGTTGCCTTTCCATCCCCAATCCTGCGTCTAACTCCTCCACAAATTAATTCCTGTGCCGCCATAATACTACGCCAGCAGAAACTTGGGTTATTCCCTATACAAGCATCAAAGAATGACCCCTTAGGATAGTATCTGGCTTTAAATATTCTGGAAACCAACGATTCAGGTTTGGTGAGTAAACGCCAGGCCTGTTTCCCCAACATAGCTAAATTAAAGGCATGCAACTCCTTAAAGCCCAACCATCCATATTTCTTAGGGATACATAATTTATCCCATGCCTTCCAATGGATGCCCTGGTCATCTTTAGATCTCCACCAGTAACGATTCATAGTTCTCTCAATAGCTGTTCAAATATTCATAGGTAATAAAAAGACACTCATAGAAAAGGTGGGCATAGATTATGCCACACTTTTCAATAAGACCTCCTTACCTGCCTGTGAAAGCAACTTCTTATTCCATGAACCAATTCGCTGTCTAATCTTGTCATCAATATATGAGAAAACAGCTCTCCTATTCCTGCCCACAAATGATGGAAGTCCTAAATACTTCCCAAAATTCGGAGCCTGAACCACTCCCAAGATACTGGCAATCTCCTCTCTGTGTTCATCCCGCGTGTTCTTACTATAGCAAATGCTTGATTTATAGTAATTCACTGCTTGCCCAGACATTTCCTCATACATCGATAAACACTGTTTAACCACACTGGCCTCCTGCGCAGTTGCTCCGATCCATTTATATAATAAACATACTTAACATTAAAATCAACCATATACTGTATATATTATTGTCAATAGTCTTCCATTTATATAGTAAAAACATGATTTTAATTTTTAATAACATCACCACAAAACAATTTCCAAAAATCTCATGCATGAAGAAAGTATCTTCTGAGTGAACTTTCACTTACAATATGTTTGGTTCACATAATGAATTTTTGAGTGAATATAAATGTTATTTCATAAGGGATTGAATATATAAGAATAAAATAGAAATTCTATTCCATTGCTTGGTTTTGAAAACTAATATACTTCAAAAATTATATTATAGTGTTTGATTGGTTTAAATAATATAAATGAAATAAATACTCAAATAAAAAGATATAAATATCAATTATACTGAATGTTATATATGTGTGTGTAAACAATATCAACAAAAACAACAACAATAACATATTATATTCTCGTGCGGTTAAGTGTTTCTCGTGCAGTTTTGCGGTGAGTAATGTGCGTGAGTTTTGTACTTAAGGTGCGTGAGTCTTTTGCTTAAGTCGCGTGAGTTTTGTGCTTAAGGTACGTGTGTGTGTACTTAATGTGAGTAGTTGTTGAAACTTAAGGTGCGTGAGTTTTGTGCTTGATGTGAGTAGTTGTTGAAACTTAAGGTGCGTGGGTTTTGTGCTTAAGGTGCGTGAGGTTTGTGGTTAAGGTGCGTGAGTTTTGTGCTTAAGGTGCGTGTGTTTGTTTTCTTAAGGTATTTTGTTTGTGTGCTTAATGTGCGTGTGTTGTGTGCTTAAAGTGTGGCAGTTTAATGCTTAAGGTGCGTTCCTTTGCACAACCGCACGGGAAGCCCTCCCCGCACCTGATCCCTTCCATATATATATATATATATATATATATATATATATATATATATATATATATATATATATATATATATATATATATATATATATATATATATATATATATATATATATATATATATATATATGAGTTAATACCAGCCAAGGTCCCTCGAGTATAGTGGTTCCGCCACCTATGGTCCTAAACTTTCAAATTAACCATCTGTGATCCTCCGAGTTTCAAAAATGACCTGGGGCAGTCCTTCTGTTTAGTTTTTCCGTCTCAGCTGTGAAATCTAAGGTCATAATAGTCATTTCATTTATTTCCCACCCAATACACATTAATTCGATCAGAAAATAAAATAACCCACCACCCGCACGCCTCCTCACCACCCGCCGTGAGATTCTTGAATTATTGGCGGGAGTTCTATTGATAGACCTGTCCCAGCCCGACTCCAAACACCACATCGTCAAAGCATGCGAGGAATTCAGATTCTTTAAGATGGTGAACCATGGCGTTCCCACTGAATTCATAACCAGGCTCGAATCCGAAGCCGTGAAATTCTTCTCCTCTCCCATCTCTGACAAGGAAAACACAGGGGTGAAATTCTTCTCCTCTCCCATGTCTGACAAGGAAAACGCAGGGCCGCCTGACCCGTCCGGGTATGGCAAAAAAAAGATCGGCCGCAATGGCAATATCGAGTGGGTTGAATACATTCTTTTATCCCTCAACAACCTGGAATTCGATTACGACAGTTCTCGTCAGACTTCGGTTTATCCCCTGAAATGTTCTGGTGAGATATTCTGGCCAGATTCTTTTATTTTATTGCTTGGAAATTGGGTGTAACATATAGTAACAAAGTGGAAAAAATACATGCAGGGCCGCTGTGAGTGACTATGTGACAGATGTGAAGAGAATGGCGTGTGAGATTTTTGAATTAATGGCAAAGGGGCTGAAGATTCAGCCGAAGAATGTGTTCAGTAGGCTGGTGATGGATGAAGAGAGCGACTCGATGTTGAGGCCGAATCACTACCCTCCATGCCCGTAGCTCCCAAGAAATCAACGGCAGGAATTTGATTGGGTTCGGCGAACACACAGACCCACAAATCATATCTGTTCTGAGATCCAACAACACCTCGGGCCTTCAAATCTCACTCAAAGATGGCTGCTGGATTTCCGTGCCGGCTGATCAAACCTCCTTCTTCATCAACGTCGAAGACTCTCTTCAAGTCAACGCGCTTTACATTTTCATTTTTTGTTGCATCTCTCCTAATTCACCCTGTAAATTTCCTGCTTAAATTAATAATTTTTTTTTCTGGTTCCAACCTATATATGTTACCTGACATTCCGTGAAGATTTTGTTTTTTCTTGCTGGTTGCTTTCGATGGCGGCGCTGCTTGGTTCTCGGAGGAAGAAATGCTTGCTTCGCCGGAGCCAAGGGAGTCGTTCTTATCGCGTCAGTCCTCATATCTTTGGAGTAGTTTTGTTGTTCTTTAATCTGTAGCAGCTAAAAAGGGAAAATCATACGCATATCGTTGGCGAAAGTTGAAGATATGAACTTTTCGGCTAGCTTTCTGCGCTCACAACCAGCTCCGATCAAGTTCTGACCGCAACCCAAATACTAAACCAAACTACTTAGCAAAAATGGGTGGGAAATAAATGAAATGACTATTATGCCCTTAGATTTCACGGTTGAGACGGAGAAACTTAACGGAAAGACTACCCCAGGTCATTTTTGAAACTCGGAGGATCACGGATGGTCAATTTGAAAGTTTAGGACCATAGGTGGCGGAACCACTATACTCGAGGGACCTTGGGTGGTATTAACTCATATATATATATATATATATATATATATATATATATATATATATATATATATATATATATATATATATATATATATATATATATATATAGGGTAGAGTTCCAGTGAGAACATGTGCTTAGGTGAGAACGTGAGAACACATCATATGCATCCATCTAATATTTTTTAATGGTCTAGATTATATTAAGTGTGTGCGAACGCGCATTAAATGTGTGCAAACGCAATTTAGTGTGTTTGCACACATTTAATGCGCGTTCGCACACACTTAATCTAATCTAGACCATTAAAAAATATTAGATGGATGCACATGATGTGTTCTCACGTTCTCACCTAAACACATGTTCTCATATGATCCTAACTCTATATATATATATATATATATATATATATATATATACATATATATATATATATATATATATATATATATATATATATATATACATATATATATATATATATATATATATATATATATATATATATATATATGAGTCACACTTGTGTGAGTCGGATCGGGTCGGGTTGAGTCAATGTGCAAATGTAATACTTATTCTAGCAAATGTAATACTAAATCATGAATAAATTGTTTGTTACTTATAAGGGAAAACATAATATTTTTTTAGGACAAATGTAATTCATTTATATTTTGATGTAAAAGTATTACTTTTTTTTTTTTTCAAAAGTATTATATTTTCTAAATTAAGTAATGTTGCACTTATGACCTTTTTTTTTTTTAATGCTACTGATACTATTACATTGTAGTATCTGTTCAAACATACTTTTTCAACCTAATGAAGCACAAAGAGTCAATCGATCTCGGCTTCCCACATGGGAGAGGTCACTACATGTCATCTGAGTACAAGGTACTTGGCGTTGCACTTATGACTTATTATATTTTTCATCAAAAAAATTATATTTTCATTGAGTATCCATCCAAACACGGAAAAATCTAAAAGAATGACTTCCGAAAGTCCTTTTTTGAGTTTCCAAATGGACCTTTAAAAATATCACAATGAATATCCTAGTTGTTGGGTGCACTCATAATCTAAAAACTAATTTAGATACCAAGAATTAAGATAATATGAACAATGCTTAAGTAAGTAGGATACATTGGTATATTAAATATGAAATAGAGAAAATAGATGATAGACTACGAAGTAAGGGAAGATAATAATGAATATAATCATAATAATATGTAGATGCGTGTCATACACTCATACGTGATTAGATAATGATGTGAATGTGGTGAGTACGTGATGATAGATGTGGATAGATATTTATATAGGTGGTAATGGTGAGTAGGCAGATAATAGAAATTAATAAATAAATGAATTAATAATTTTATCTATATAGATAAAATTACATTTATTTAAAAAAAAAACAGCAAAAAAGTGATTTTTTTATTTTTTTTAAATATAAAATTTATTTTTAAAATTTTTAAAAGAAAAAATGGTAGAAGTAAACATATCTTTCATTCCTCAAGTTTTTTGTTATCTAATTGCGGGAAAAAAATATTTCGTTCCATTTACTCTCATAAAAAAAAAAAAAAAAAAAAAAAAGCTGTGACTCACCCGCGGGTATATGCAAAATCATATCACAGTATAAAACACCGTCCATTTGCGTTGAGTAGTCATCACATTTTTTTTTTTGCGTTTTCCGGTTTGCTTCTCTCTCCGTTCTCAAGGCAATTCTCAACCAGCCCCCGGCGGCGCCGGTGCCGGAGCCGTGCCTCGCAGCTACCTTCGCCGGAGAGAAATAACAGCAAATCCATATCGCCTTTTCCAATTTGCTTCCACAATATTATTCCCTATTTTCTCAGACATTAAGTCCGGAAATCGAGGAATTCCCATTTAAGGCCTCAGTTTCCTTATCCGTTGGGATTTCACTCCCTAATTTCGATTGCGAGCGTAAGGGTATAGTAGTAGAGAAATTGAAGAAAAATGACGATCGAATCCATGCCTGGCAGTTCAGGGTACTTAGACGCCGGCGATCGGAAAGTTACATATTTTAGCAATCCTTATGTTCTGGGTTTGACCATCACTGCCGGTATTGGGGGTCTCCTTTTTGGCTACGATACAGGTATTAGCTTAAATTGGAAAGGAAAATGAATAACCATTTTGCATTCAAATTTACTATTCTTTTTCGGTTTTGATTTTGATGTATTGATATTTATTTATTTATTATACTCCGTATTATTTTACGGATTACTTTCTATTTTACCTTGCTTTTTCATTTTATGTTTTTATCTAATTAAATTAAATAAACTAAGCCAAAACCTTGCCGTAGAGCCCACATAATTGTAGCTTTCCAAATGAGAGGTCTTGAATCCTTAGTGGTGGGACATTGAATACTGTTTGACTTAATTTAAAAATCAATATAAGTATATGGTTAATTAGTTAAAATTCAAAAAATTACTTACAGGGCGTTTGGTTGGAGGGGGAGAATTATGTGGGAAAGAAATTGTAATTCTATGGGAGTTGAATTACTGGGAATAAAGTGGGAATTTAAATTCCAGTGTTTGGTTGACAGGAATAGAATTACTGGGAATTTCAATTCCAATGTTTGGTATACATGGGAATTGAAAGGGAATAAGTAGTATAAAGTAAAAAATGTTCATTATTGTTGTTAGACATTAATTTTAGGATAAAAAAAGGCAGGGGTAATTTTGACTCATCACTATCTTTTTTTCCTAGGAATTAAAATACCAGGGGGGACATGGGATTTTAATTCCATGGAATTGCAATTCCCTCCAACCAAACTACGGAATTTAATGGTCTTTGGAATTAGGTGGGAATTAAGTGGGAAGGGAATTTAAAATCCCTCCAACCAAACGCCCTGTTAAAGTAACTTTTTCAATTAATTTTTTTAGAAAAGAAATTATACTAAACTAAGTTAATTTATGAAACACCTTTCTACAATCAGTTAATGTTATCAACTAGTCATACTCTCTAACCCAATCAGCTAATAGCTAACAGCCATTTACCAAACAGGACTATTGACTTTTTATGCTTCAATAGCTTGATAATGTATGGACAAATACTAAATTGTAACAGAATTAATAGTAATTAAAAATTAAATAAACTAAAATTGGAGATACTAAGTTATGGAGTATTTCTTAGCTTTCCATAGTCTATTCTAGTCCACAAAAGCGATCAATTCTTACAGTGCCCCTCTTTTGTTATGGTTTATTTGTTTTAACAAACGTGTTTTACTAATGGATAATATTACTTCTGTTCAATTTTCTTTTTTATTGTTTATTTTTACAATAATTAACTCGAGGTGAACAGGTAACGTAAAAGTATAAAGTAATTGTTACATTCTTCATATATCAAATCATTTCTGATATATTAATTTGGAGCATTTTCCTTATGACATAGGAGATAGGATTTGGTACACGGCGATGCGGCATCTAATCTAATCTAATCTAAAAAATAATATTGTGAATGATAGTTATACATTTTATTTATGTCCATTTTTTCGTTACGTTTTCTTTTTAATACATTATTATACTATAAAAGTGGTACTATACAATATTTTGGACAAACATACCCCTACCGTTATAACTTCCGTTATTTTTTTCACTATTGTTACCATGCACATGTATCCATCATATATTTTATTATCTTCTTCAATAATAATTATAATTTATACACGTTATATAATTGAGTTATATATTAGTTACTTAGTTAATTCCTAAATTATAAATATTAAATTTATTAAAATGTTTTATATTATTATTATTATTATTTACATTATTTACAATAATTTAAATATCTAAAATCTAAATAAATTCAAAATTTTAATATAAAATATAAAGTACTAATATTGGGCACCTATTTTTGCGCATCGCGCATAGAAAATACTAGTGTCAATATAAGTCTCAATCAATAATAAATTGTCATTTTAATAAGTAAATAGTGAGTAAATGGAAAGTGATAATAATATATTCTCTCTCTCCAAATTAATATTTCTTTTTATTTATTAATGGAAAAAAATGCATTTTTACTCCTAATTCTTTTAAAAAGTTGCAGATTTAACCCCTTAAGCAACAAAATTATTAAATTCTATAAACATTTTACTTAGTACATGAATATTTTAGTACTTTTTAATGTTTTTTTTTTTTAAATATAATCTTCTTTAGTTTCAATATTTCATTTGTAAAAAAAACTTGATTTTAACATGTTGGTGTAGGAAATTAGGCACAACATACTACAATTGAAGATAAAAAATTTAGAGAAGAATGTTGTTAATTCTCTATTTTTGCAAATGAAATGTCAAAATTGAAAAAGTTAATAAAGATAATAAAATTTTAAAATATGTACTAAGTAAATTTTTAATAGAGTCTAATAGTTTTGTTGTTCAGGAGTTAAAACTGTAACTTTTTTTGAAGAGTTAGGGGTGTTATTGTAACGGTAAAAAGTTAAGGACTAAAACGGCTAGTAAGGAACAATTGAGGGACTAAAAATGCATTTTCCCCTTTATTCATTGAAATGGTGATTTGATAATTTATTATTGGTTGAGACACAGGGTAACATGGTATTTATGTTAGACTAAAATATCACATGCATCATATAATATGTGATAATAGGATCGACTAACCTCCAGCCATAGCTCTTAACACGGTTGAACGATCCGGACTGCTGCAGAGATAACGAGTATTTTGTCTCTCACTTTACTCAGCTCTCTCTAGATGGTGTATGAGGTATGTAGTGTGAGCAGTGAGAGGACTAGTGACCTTATATAACCACTGACCATCAATGTGGTTGATTGTCTTTAGGTCTCCTAAACCCTAACTAGACTCCTAATCATAATGGTAGTCTAGCTATTAGGTTATTAGTGTTGCACCACATATCAAATACTGAATATTATCATAACTTATCCTAATGTTATAATAATAGTAACGGATAAACGTTACAATTTAGGCATAACTAATTCATTACTCTTTGACCTATATCCATTATCCTTTTCAACCATGTCTCAGTAACAAAAAAATGTATTTGATAATGTCTCATGAACCAAAATTCTTTTTAAAGGTTTGGTAAATTCTTTTGAAAAGTTTTAATAAACGATTTGGTTGCATGAACCCTAATGGATAACATTGTTGTGTCTCTTGGGTAAAAATTATGATAGTGTGGTTTGTGAGTATGGATTGTGAATAATCTCTTACCTACTTGGGTTCAACTTAATTATGGACTATTGATTTATTTGGTACAATTTTTATCTTCACCAGAGGCCTAAATATTGTATCATTTAATCTTATGATCTCAATCATGCAATTAAGCACTACCAAACAGCCCATGTATGCATAATATATATTGAAAATTCGGAATTTTGGAGCGCTATTGTTCAATGGTAGGTTTCAGTGTTTTGCTTCTCATGCACTGATTTGGTTGCAGGTGTAATTTCCGGTGCACTTTTGTACATCAAAGATGACTTTGTGGAGGTGAATCAAAGCAGCTTCCTACAGGTATTTGAGTTTAATTTGTTAGCTTTTTGACATGATATGCATATTTGTTAGTACTGTGCCTTGTACTAGTACTCAACTTGTGTTGTAATTTTTTTAAAGGAAAAAAAAAAAAAAAAAACTCATCTTCAAAGAACTTGAGTGAGTGAGGCTCATCCGCTCAAGTAAGGGTTTACTTTTGTTGTAACTGATTGATCTCAAGACAGGTGCTTATTTTTTATAAATCAATCGTGGTGACACTTCCCTTGTGTTGAGCAGAGATTTTTATTTAGAAAGTTTACGTAGATATTAGTCATGGCTACTTACAGCATGTTTGGATTGTGGAATACATAAAGAATTGAATTGTAATTATGAATTCCTTTGTTTGGTTTACGCAAACAATCTAAGAATTGGATTGCATGGAATCTGAATTCCCCATAGGCCATAGTGATTGCAGTTCCTGGCTGATTAGGAATCAACCCACTTTATTGGCAAAAATGTCCTCAATAACAGCCCAAACCTGCTTTTTTTTGGCCAAACTCGTTGCTGTCTCATTTCTGCACATCCATCTCACTGCCACTGGCCAGAGAATGGTAGCTGGCCATGGCCATCGTTCTCTGGACTAGACTAATTGTGGATGAGGGCAATGGCAGGCTGACCTGCCTGATCATCATCCTTGGCCAACAAATCAACAATGGCCAGATATTGCCATGGAGGGTTTATAAAAATAATACAGAGTAATAAGATATCTATGGCTGCCAACGTTCTTTGGTCTGGAACAATGGCTGGGTATTGTTTTGGTCAGAGAATGATGGTGATATCTAGTCATTAATGACCATAATCCTCTTCATTCTTTTTCCATTGCTTAACCCAATCAAACTACCAGATTTTTATTCCACATGTATCCTTTTTACGAATTGAACAATGGAATTGCATTCCTTTTCTTTTCTCTTCTCTTTTTCCTTTCCATTAAGAATCCTATTCCTATTTACTTTGTTTTCATTAAATGATACATGCTGCTATAGAAAGGTGCGTGCAGGTGTAATTTGTCTAATCATGGGAAGCTCTAATATGATGATCTTATTTGGACACTGGATTTGAGCCTCAAATTTTGTTCAACCAAAAATTGTTTTCATTTTAGGGTCCGTTTGGAAACCTGGAAAATGACTTCCGGAAAATGTTTTCCGAGTTTTCAGTGTTTGGATGTAACAGGAAAATCCAGTCAACGGAAAACATTTTCCGTTGACTGGGCAAAATGAAGCCATTTTGGCGGAAAATGACTTTGGCGGAAGTCATTTTCTGCCAAAATGTTTAATTATACAATTCTACTCATTTTCCAGAAAATAAACCAAACACACCAAGTTTTCCAAAATGCAACCAAACATCGGAAAGGAAAATGTTTCTGGAAAATGACTCATTTTCCAGAAGTCATTTTCCTGCTTTCCAAACGGACCCTTACTTCAATACTCCCTCTCTTTGTTACACAACCATAGAAGCTCTTCTCTGAATAGTATTAATACTTGTGAAGTAGGTTCACTTTTAGCAGAGATATGTTTCATTTGTTGATGTTTTGGATGATTGTTTGGCAGGAAACTATTGTCAGCATGGCTCTGGTTGGAGCTATGATTGGAGCTGCAGCAGGAGGTTGGATTAATGATGCTTATGGGCGGAAAAAAGCTACTCTTTCAGCAGATGTTGTTTTCACGCTGGGAGCCATTGTTATGGCTGCTGCTCCAGATCCATATGTACTTATACTTGGAAGACTTCTGGTTGGTTTGGGGGTTGGTGTGGCATCTGTCACTGCTCCTGTATACATTGCTGAAGCATCACCATCTGAAATTAGGGGAGGTCTTGTGAGCACCAATGTGCTAATGATTACTGGTGGACAGTTTCTTTCCTATCTTGTCAATCTTGCTTTCACAGAGGTCAGATATTCGTGCCTTGTTGTCCATTCAACTTTTATCTTCTAAACTTTTTGTGCTCTGAACAAATTTGGGATTTCTAAAAGAAATTGTGGTCTTGAATAGTGAAACTTTTATACGTATTTAAACTATTTTACTATTTTTGTTGATGCCATCTGGAATCTAATAAAAATGTGTACATGTTTATGCAAAAGTTCTTTTGAAGATAGGCTGCTAAATTTTTTTAAACATTTTCACATTAGAGCTCCTGTTTCAACACCTCAGTGTCAAACTATTAAAAGCAGATATGAGACAATAATGCTTTCTTTTTATCTGGAATCTGGATTGGGCTTTTCTTACATTCTCGAACTCCCATTTTTTGCTTTCTCGCAAAGCCACAGAATTTTGCCGGAGATTTAAGTTCAGTTTTTCATTTTCATTATGCTGTGGCTGGGATTAGCTTCTTCAACTTTGTACTAAAGAATGTGCATATTTGGCTTCCATTATAGATATATCGTACATATTTGACTGAAAAGACCTTGAAAGTGCCTTTTTTGTCCTTACACTGATCTTCATGGATTTTAAGATATAATCTTTGCTTACAATTGTGCTCTCTTCTCATTGCAAATAACTTAAATGAATAGTTCCTTAGTTTCTGCAAATTTTAAATTTATCCAAACTTTAGAATATTTTTGCTTTCTGGAATCTTGGTAGCACATCATTAATCTGCAGTTACTAAGATAGTTGGTAGTTCTGACTATGATTACTTGATTAGATTTGTAAGTTTTCATGTTATTTAGTTATGTTTAGAGTATTATTCTATATGTATATCTGGCTAGTGGCTAGTGTTATATTTGGAAAATTTCGTGTTATTTGGTTATGTGCAGGGTTATTAATTTAGGCCGTGTTACACAGTTTTGGTGGGTCTTAAAGATTAGTCTTTCCCAAAGCAGTTTGTTGAGCACTATATGTTCCTGACTTCCTATCTATTATATTATTTGATAATGAGATTATGATTTTTTGTGTTTTGATGTTTATTCAATAATTGCTTATTGTGGTTGTTGGTAGTTTTATATCTCAATATTTTAGGCCGCAACTGTTTGATTTGTAATTATAATTTTAATTTTCTTCTAATTTCTGAGTAATTTCATCACTGTGTTAGCAAATCTACATACCTATTCACTGTTGTTTTTAAACAATTGTCATTTTAAAGATTTTAGTACGGTGGTTGAACTTCTGCCATTTGAATGCCTGAGCAGGTCCCGGGGACTTGGAGATGGATGCTTGGAGTGTCTGGAGTGCCAGCTATTGTTCAGTTCTGTCTTATGCTATTCTTGCCAGAATCTCCACGGTGGCTCTACATGAAGGTACAAATACCTGATTAATGTGAATTATTGCTGCTTTTTGTTGGCTGATTTTCTAGCTATACTTACAAATCAAACCCTGTGCAGAAGGATAAATCAGAAGCTGTTGTTGTGCTTTCTAAAATCTATGATCCTTATCGGTTAGAAGAGGAGATTGATCAGTTAGCAACTGCATTAGAGGAAGAAAGATTCAGAAAGCAAGCTGTCAGATACTCGGATGTTTTCAGATCAAAAGAGCTTAGACTTGCATTTTTCGCTGGGGCTGGACTACAGGTATTTATTTGACTCCGGAGAAAAAAATATGAAACATTTGTGTATTTCTTGTGACAAAAGGTGGAATTGCCCACCCCAGGCGGTCCCACAGTTAGTGGAGGGGTAAATCATGGTGACTCAACTAACCAACAAAGGCAGGAGTAGTCCCCCTCATTTTGAGAGGTTGCTCCCACACTGTTGTTGGTGAGGCTCTATCATTGGTCTCTTATGACAAGTTTCACTACTACGACCAGTTGAACTGTCCATGCGGGCGAAACATTTGTATTTCTACATTGACGATTTGACGTTCCTCTTATTTATACTTGCATATTCTGTAATTTAAGAGGCCAGTAAAGTAGTCAATATGGTTTTGCAGGCATTTCAACAGTTCACTGGCATCAATACCGTGATGTACTATAGTCCAACAATTGTGCAAATGGCTGGGTTCAGCTCAAACCAGTTAGCGTTACTACTCTCTCTTATTGTTGCGCTGATGAATGCCATGGGTACAATTCTGGGAATCTACCTCATTGACCATTATGGTCGTAGAAAGTTGGCCCTCACAAGTCTATCTGGCGTGATTGTTTCCCTCGTTGTTCTTGCTGTAGCCTTCATCTTGCAGCCTTCTTCTAGCACGGGTACTACTGGGGTCTATGGATGGATTGCAGTTCTAGGTTTGGCTCTTTACATTGCCTTCTTTGCACCCGGTATGGGGCCTGTTCCATGGACCGTGAACTCAGAAATATACCCTGAAGCATACCGGGGAATGTGTGGTGGAATGTCTGCCACCGTTAACTGGATATCCAATCTCATAGTAGCACAGAGTTTTCTCTCGTTAGCCGAAGCAGTGGGCACCGGTGCAACATTCTTGATACTTGCAGTTATAGCCATAGCCGCATTTGGATTTGTGGTGGCTTTTGTACCCGAGACAAAGGGGCTGACGTTTGAGGAAGTCGAGAGGATCTGGAAGGCGAGGGCTCGGGGCAATGGCTCTGGCTCTGGCAGAGAAGCTCTTCTGGAAGCTGGAAACCAATCTTGAGTCTCTTCTTGATTGAAATCAGTTTGTAGATATATAGGATTAAGTGCTCGGTTGAGAGTGCAGTTGTTGCACTGGGGCTTGTATTTGTTGAGCCCTTTCTATTGTATGTGTATTTGCAAAATGATGGATTGATCCCACAAGTTGTGGAAGTAAATATGATCTACTTCAGGTCTTGATTGTTGCCAATTTCATACAAAAACTCAAGGGGAAGTTTTAAAATCACTTGTTACTGTGGTGTCTGGTTTCTGGTTACTATTCTAAATGGGTGGTCACAGGATTGAACTCTGGTCGGTGGTGGGGCATCGATTCTTTAGGCCGAAAAAGATTGAAAAAAACATAGAACAGATACTACCTTATAAAGAATTACATGGAATCATTCAGGTATAAGAAATCATGGATTCATGGTGATGAAATAGTTGTTCTAGCTAGAAGGGCAGACACAAAATCATCCATTGCTAAAAGGGAACTTCCTTTAGTGGTTCCATCTTCTTCTTCTCTCACAGCTCCTCTAATCATCTCCCCAATTTCAATTGCTTTTTTCTTCATCTCCTCTCCCTCCCCTCCCTTCTCCAAAACTGTGTCCACAACCCTCTTCACATCATCTCTGCTGATACTACTCTGAGTCCCCCTGCACACCTCTATACACACTCCCATTTCCTCCATTAACATCTTCGAGTTGAACCCTTGGTCCCCCGACAATGGCCACCCGATGATCGGGATGCCCTGGCTCAAGCTCTCCAGCAAAGAGTTCCACCCACAATGGCTCAAGAATGCCCCCACTGATCTGTGGCATAAAATCTCCAGCTGAGGTGCCCAGGAATGGACCAGAAATCCCTTCTTGTTCTTTGCCATTCTCTCTTCATACCCTTCCGGCAACCATTCTGACCTAAACTCCCCTTTCCTGTCAAAGCCAGTGGGAGGTCTTATCACCCAAAGGAATGGTTTTTGGCTATCTTCCAACCCCAAGGCTAATGCCATCATCTGAGAAGCACTGATGCTGTTCTGGGATCCAAACGAAACGTATAGAACCGACCCGTCTCGATGCATATCCAACCACCCAATGCATTCCTTGGCTGAAATCCCAGGATTAATATTCCCCCCTATGGTTCCACACATTTGAGATGATTCCAATTCTCTAGTTTTATTAAGCATTTCTTGGGGAAGAAGTGGTCCAATGCACCAAACAGGGAGTTTTATGATGTTCTTGAGTATATCAGTGCCAGCAGGCTCAATCTCTTTGACTGTATTACACAACCAACCAAATGAGTCAAAGGAGAGAGACATGACAGACCTGTAGAACATTGTCCATGGATCAGTGGCATTTGCAGCTCTGAGAAGGGGATGAAGCTGAGAAGTATGGAACCGGGTCGAACCCGGGAAACCAGGCAGGCTAAACTCATTATCATCATTGGCTGATAGGTGGGGAAGATTGAGCCAACAAGAGAAATAAGCAGCAAAGCCATAACACCCCCCAGTGTTGAAACTCACATTAACAGTCCCAAAAGACTTTGCAACTCTATTAGCCCACCCCATGAAAGAATCAGAGATTATGCACAGTGGGGGCTTCCCATTTTCCATTGTCATCTCAGAGACGAGGTCACGTAAAGGCGACTCGAGAGAAACCGAGGCCCTGAACAGCTTCAACATGTCATCAAAAGCCAAGGCCTCAGTGTTCTCTGCTTTGGCTTTCAACCCATGGTCTGCAGGGTTGAAGGAGAGGGCTGCTACCCGGATCCCCGTGCTCTGGGGGCTCGGGGGGCTCGAAGCAGAGATAGTGGTTCTGAGATACTGAGCATTGAGAGGGGTGGTGGCAATGGTGATTGTGAAAGCAGTTGTTTGATGGATTCTTTTGGCTAAAGCCAAAAAGGGTATGATGTGGCCCTGAGCCATGAAGGGCAGCATGAGAATGTGGTGTTGTTGAGAGTTGCCGGCCATAAGTTGGTGATTGTGGAATGTGGATTTGCTATATGCTGGGAGAAATTGAAGGAGGTGAGGATTAAGAAGCGGAGGACTTGTTTAAATAGTCTTTGGTATGACCAGATTTGTGCAATTATGCATGCATTATGTTTCCCACTTCAATCACATCCAACTAACTTCTTCAAGGACGGATCCAAAGGGAGGCAACGGGGACAGCTCCCCACTCACCCCTCTCCCTCCCCCTCCCCACCCGTTATATATACGTATGTGTTGGGCGGAAGTCGGTAAGGGCTAAGTTTAATACCATGTGACTAGGACATTATTTGGTGGGGTCAAGTTCAGCACCCTGACTTTTGAAAATGTGTGACAGTGTAAAAAAATAAAATTGTGTTTTTGTTACTAGTTATAGTTTTTGATGTAGTGGTTAGTGTTTGATCTTAACAAGTGATATCAATGCTAGGTCACACCTTTGCTACTAGCTAACTATAACTTTTAGTATAGTGGTAAGTGTCTATCCTATATATATATATATATATATATATATATATATATATATATATATATATAGATTGTTTTTTTTTTAATGCTTGTTTATCTATACTTTCTCAACCTGTTCAAGCATAAAGAGTTAACACCGTCTCTCCCGACACTTAATGCCATGACCTCCCACATAGGAAAGTCACTACATGTCATTTGAACATAAGGTGTTTGGCCCTCTGAATTGAATTAATACCGTATGTCAGGGATCATTTTTGAATTGAAAAATTCATGGATTTGCCCTCTGAACTTCTTCATATTAACCCTGGAACTAATTTCTCTAAATTTATTTCAAGGGCCTATAGAGGTAATATTAGGTTTGTTAATGCTTATTGCAATAATATTAATCACATTTTAATTGGATATATTTATTAAATCCTGAAGAGTTAATTCTATTTTTTGTCATAGATTTATAAGTGGCCTGACAATTTACTTTAAGTCCTTTTTAATTAGAACATTCTTATTTAGTCCTAGTATTATTGTGTCATGATCATTTTTGGTCATTTATCAACAAAACAATCTATATATCGTTAAATACAAGGGCATTTTGGTCTTCAATTATAGATTTTTTTTCAAAAAAAAAAAAACATAAAAAATATAGCGGTTCAACCTACTTTGTATAAAAAAGATTGAAATGTCTTTGTATATAATGATTGTGTTGAAGAAGGACTAAAAGTGGTCATGTCACAATAATACTGGGACTAAATGATGATATTCTAATAAAAAAGGACTAAAAGTGGACTGTCATCTATAAATCTAGTATCAAAAATGGAATTAACTCTTTAGGCCCTTAAAATAAATTTAGAGAAAATGATGATGTCTAATAAAAAATGACTAAAAGTGAACTGTCACCTATAAATCTAGTATAAAAAATTGAATATTATTCATGTCAAATCATCACTTTGATTTTAGTTCAACTCAGAGAAATGATATGAAAAATGTTACATCCCCTACAGGTGAGAGAAGTGCGTAATGTATTTTACGTAACAATAGGATAATACAAGTACATAGAGATATATACACCTATACAATAATAGTCTAAGTAGAAGTATAATGAACCACAACTGCCAAGCACCTTGTGCTCAGATGGCACCTTTGTGCCTCCCTTTGAGGGAAGGTCACAGGATCGAACCTAGTGGTGGGGTCTTGACTCTTTGGGCTGCAATAGATATAGAAAGTATAGAACAGATACTACCTTGTAATAGATGAATTCAAAACGCGAAGATATCTGCAAGCTCCTCAATAGAAGACCGAGCCATTGTTCGTTGCTTGCGAGACATCCAGGAAATAAGATTAGAGCCTAGAAACACTACGAAACCACTGGTACACTTTCGATCCACCGAACAACTAGCCCAATCCGAATATGAAAAAGCATGTATATCATAAGAAATCGAAGCACATAGGCGCAAACCAAAGTCTAGTGTACCTTTGACATATTGAAAAACACGCTTGAGAAACCCCCAATGCTCCTTAATCGGAGAATGCATAAACTGACACAGCCTATTGTCCGCATATGAGAGATCGATCCGGCCGAGTTATAGTCAAATACTGAAGCGTACCAACCAACTGCCTATACTGAGTGGGATTGTCAAACAGCTCGCCAGAGGAAGACGCAACACAAGCCACTGAAGCGGGAGTCGTAAGCAGTTTACAGTCAGTCATTCCCATTCGCTTAAAAAGATCACCCATATACCTGCAATGAGAAAGAACTAGGCTCCCTTATCTTAAAAACAGAAGATTATTAATCAGCGTAGAATCATTACCCATCATAATAATATCATCTACATATACAAGAAGAAAAATCCTCGAATCACTAGTAGAATAATGAAACAGGGATGCATCAGTTTTAGAAGAGCAAAAACCCACAGATAATAAAAAGTCATGTAGCCACTTGAACCACGTTCGAGGCGCCTGTTTCAACCCATACAAAGAACGCTGAAGAAGACAGGCGTGATCAGAATGTACAGAATCAAAATACCCAGGAGGCTGACGCATATACACCGTCTCAGCCAAATGTCAAATCATCACTTTGATTTTAGTTCAACTCAAACGATATGAAAAATGTTACATCCCCTACAGATATTACTCTAATATTCACTACACGATGCAATTTTTTTTTTTTTAAATTTAATTATTATGTAAATTCTTTTATTAAATCGTGCTATGGCCGGATAATACATATATAACCAATAAAAATAAAGATTTTTTTTAAATTACTGTATCAGTGAATAAGCATTATATATAGTGATTTTAGTCAATAAAATATAATTTTTTAAAAACTTTTCTATTTAAAAATTATTTTTAAATTAAAAATTACCTCATTGTGGTCCTTTGCCGACTAAGATCACAAAGTGGGGTTTACCCAGTGCATAAACAATTGTTGCCATGAACCCGTGTCCACCTTGCAACCGGTCCAAAACGGCGTCGTTTTGTTTCAAAACGACACCGTCTAGATTTTTTTTTTTTTTTTTTTTTTTAAAGTGCTTCCTTGCCGTTTGTCTTCAGAATTCGTTCCTCTATATTCATAATTTTTGAACTCTATATTCACAATTTTAGAACTCTATATTCACAATTTTAGATCTCAATATACAAAATTACAGAACTCTATATTTACAATTTTTGAAGATATTAACAAGTTTTGAACTCTATATTCACAATTACAGAACTCTATATTCAACAGTATAACAAAATTTTTGAATCTATATTCACAATTTTTAAACTCTATATTTACAAATATATATATATATATATATATATATATATATATATATATATATATATATATATATATATATATATATATATATATATATATATATATATATATATATATATATATATATATATATATATATATATATATATATATATATATATATATATATATAATTGGCTGAAGAAACGGTGCCTCTAACGACACCGTTATTCTAGACGCGGGTTTTGGACCTGGTTCCACAGTATAATTTGCGGTGCATAAATACCACGTAAATATTAGATTATAATTTGTTTTAATGCATCATTTGGGCTTTAGGTCTTATAATTTGACCATCCAAAAAAAAAAAAATTCCAAAAATTAAGTTCATAAGTATACTTTGTATGATAAAAATAAACCTCTTTCAAAAAGTAAACTTGGATTTGAATTTAAATTCAATAACTTGTCTCCATTATATTAGATACACCTAAAAAAAATTTAAACAACGGAAAAACATTAAGCCAAACAAATGATTATAATAATTTGACATTTCTTTATATATATATATATATATATATATATATATATATATATATATATATATATATATATTGTATCAAATGCGGATAGGGCTTCTAGGTTGCTCCCTTATGTGGGAGAAGGTGGGTTCAAGTCTCGGCGGAGGCATATTAACTTGTATATGTGGGTGTCTCTCTTCCCTTCTAATAAAAAAAATTGCACCATTTGGTATGCATAAATGCACCACATAGTATTCAGAAATGACTGGATGAAATGCACAACACACTAAAAAAAAATGCATCACACTTAATGATATATTTTCAAACACTTTGTGGTGCATTTATGTGTACCTAATGGTGAGTGACCACACGGTTGCATGGGAAGCCCTGTCCACACAGGGTATATATTAGATTATATCAAAGTCGAGAGTAATGAGATTCAAATACACAAGTAGAGATATAAATTAGTAAGTCATAATAAAAATGCACATTAAAGTAATATAAGTAATCCCTTCATAGCTAGAGTTTTGATCGGACAAGAAGGTTGAGTAATAATTAATGAATAATGAACATCGTGTCCACTACTCGAGAATAGAGGTGAAACTTTGGAAGAATGATCAGGGATCGAGTCTCACCAGTGGTAGTGTGGGAGCAACCTCTCAAAGTGAGGGGGGCTCCTTGTGCGCAATGAGCACCGGTCTAGCCTCCGGTCTAGCCTCTATGGTTCATGTTCAATTGAGTCACCATGATTTACATCCTCCCAAATGCTCTTCGGGCCGGGGTGTGGGGGGCCCTTAGGGTTGGGGTTCAACCTTTTGGAAGAGAGAATAGAAAATAAAATGTTACCATTACTCATTCTAATCGTTTCATATATGATTTTCTATATTTGTAAATTTCGATTGAGATTACTTTGGCTTAACTCGATCATATTTTCTATTCTGTTATGTGTTAGGATCGAAACTGGTTCACAACACCAAATTTACAATAGCAACTTGAACTGGAAAATATTGAGAATAAATTCTAGTGTAAGATTTAAAATAAATCATACACAGAACAAAGAAAATTAAAGAAGAATTTTTTTCTGTATTGGCAAAAGTATAAAACAATAGGAATTACAAATATAACTCTCTATTTTTCTCTACAGAATTTTGCTATACTCTCTGTATATTTCGTATGAGATGAGAAAGGATGGGATGGGATAATCTGATGAAGGATGTTGCCTTATTTATAGCCATTCATGTGTCTAGAATTTTCCAAGCTAGAACCCATGTGCCTATAATGTTATTTCTTTCCCTGCAAGTTTTCTCCAAAACTTAAGCTCAGAACTAGCCCCTTAGGAAACCTCCTCCCAAGTCCCTTAGGCAAATCTCCACCCAAGTCCCTTAGGCAAACCTCCACCCAAGTCCCTTAGGCAAACTTCCACCCAAATTCCTTTTAGGAAATCTCCTCCTAAAATCATCCCAGGCAAACTTCTGCCCATTCCACATTATGAATTTAATATTTACAAATCTCCCACTTAAATTCATAATGTGGGTCTTCATCCTTTTTGCCAATCCCCTGCTGCTTGCATTCCTGTTAGGCCAATTGAGGATCTACACCATACGAATTTATCGTTGGTAACAGGCTTTGTTAACATTTCTGCCAGGTTATCTTTAGTATGGATTTTCTGTATATCCACGCTACCCTCTTCCACCTTCTCACGAACAAAGTGATACTGAACCCGTATGTGCTTCGTCTTGGAATGAAATGCTGGATTCTTTGTCAAGTACAAAGCGCTCTGACTGTCACAAAATAGAGTCATTTTCTCTAATTTGTGCCCGAGCTCCTCCAATAACATTTGCAACCATATTGCCTCTTTACTAGCTTGAGTAGCCGCAATATATTCTGCTTCCGTCGTTGAAGTTGCCACAATCTACTGCAACTTCGAGACCCAGCTTACTGCTCCGCCAGCAAGAGTAAACACATAACCCGTGGTGGATTTACTACAATCAAGATTACCTGCATAATCTGAATCAACATAGCCTTTAATGACGAAGTCTGATCCTCCATAACACAATGCAATATCTGAGGTACCCTTGACATATCTAAGGATCCTCTTCACAGCACTCCAATGCTCTCTACCAGGATTCGCCATGTATCGACTGACCGCTCCCACTGCCTGTGCAATGTCTGGTCTAGTGCAGATCATAGCAAACATCAAGCTACCCACTACTGATGCATACGGTACTCGAGACATCTCCATCCTCTCTGCTTCGTTGCTAGGACTCATACTTGAGGATAACTTGAAATTAATAGAAAGAGGGGTAGAAATTGGCTTACAATCTTGCATGTTGAAGCGCCGCAAGATTTTCTTCAGATAATTCTTCTGAGAGAGCCAAATCTTCCTATTATTTCTGTCTCGGTGAATTTGCATCCCTAGAATCTTGTTTGCTGGTCCCAAGTCCTTCATTTCAAATTCCCTAGCCAGTTGAGCCTTCATCTCCGTGATACGATCACTGTTGGGGCCTACTACCAACATGTCGTCAACATACAACAGCAAGATGATAAACTGATTATCATCAAATCTCTTGCAATACGCGCAAGGATCTGAATTAAACCTGTTGTATCCAAGGCTCAGAATGAATGAATCAAATCTCTTATACCAACATCTCGGCGCCTGTTTGAGACCGTATAGAGATTTGGTCAACCTGCAAACCAAGTTCCCTTTTCCTTCTTCTTCAAAACCTTCTGGTTGGAGCATAAAAATTTCTTCTTCAAGTTCTCCATGTAGAAACGCAGTTTTCACATCCAACTGCTCAAGATACAAGTCAAACACAGCACACATCGCTAGGACTGCTCGAATTGTTGTAAGTCGTACAACAGGAGAAAATATCTCGTTGAAATCAACTCCTTCTTTAGCAAATCCTTTCACAACTAATCGAGCACGATACCGTTCCACTTGGTTGTTGCTATCTCGTTTGATCTTATAGACCCATTTATTTCCAATAGCCTTCCTTCCTTGTGGTAACGGGACAAGTTCCCATGTTTTATTCTTATGGAGAGCTTCGATTTCTTCTTGCATTGCTATAATCCACAGAGATGCATCTGGACCTTTAATAGCCTCATGGTAAGTTAAAGGCTCACCATCTTCTGTTAGTAGACAGTATGCAACATTTCCCTCCATAGAATAATCTGAGTGCCAAACTGGTTGCTTCCTCTCCCGAGTTGATCGTCGAACTTCTGAAGTTGAAGACTCAACTTGCTCTTGTTCATCATGCTCTATTGTTGTCTCAGGGGAAACTGGAATTTCTTCTTCCTTCCTTCCCTCAACTTGTACTGTAGCTATCACTGGTTTCTCTTTCCCAGTGTTTTCACCTTCTTGTACCTTCCCTTCTACAAATAGAACATCCCTGCTGATGATAACCTTATGGGCAGTGGGATCCCACAGGCGATACCCCTTCACTCCATCAGCATACCCCAAGAAAACGCATCTTCTTGACTTTGGATCAAGTTTTGATGTTTCTTGGGCGTTGTATACCACATATGCCGGACTCCAAATGTATTTAAGTGAGAATAACTAGATGGCTTACCCGTCAACATCTCCATTGGCGTTTTCAGATCAATTGCTGTTGATGGTGACCGATTGATCACATAACAGGCGGTCTTGACTGCTTCAGCCCAAAATGAATTCGCCAAATTTGCAGTCCTCAACATTGCCCTTGTTCTTTCCAACAAGGTTCTGTTCATCCGCTCTGCCACTCCATTTTGTTGTGGAGTATACGCCACTGTGAACTGTCGTTTGATACTTTCTTGCAAACAGAATTTACCAAATTCATCACTAGTATATTCTCCTCCATTGTCCGACCTCAAACACTTGATCCGTTTCTCGGATTCAAGTTCCACACGCGCTTTGAAGAATTTGAAAACTTCAAATACATCCGCCTTCTGTTTGATTGGATACACCCAACATCTCCTCGAGTAGTCGTCGATGAAGGATACAAAATATTTTGCACCTCCCAGGGATATAACTGGTGCTTGCCAAACATCAGAGTGGATCAGCTCCAAGATAGCCTTGCTCCTTGCTTTAGAGCTCTCGAACTTCAATCTATGCTGCTTACTTGTAACACAATGCTCACAAAAGGGTAATGATACCTTTGTTAGCCCCGGAAGAAGATGTTGATCAGCAAGAATCTTTAGACCTCGTTCCGACATGTGGCCAAGTTTCTGATGCCACATCATCGTTGATTCCTCTATAAGATTGTTTGCTGCAACAGCTGCTTCTCCTTGTAGTTGTGTTTCTCCTTTAAGCATGTATAGATTGGCTGCTATCTTCTCAGCTTTCATCACAACAAGCGCGCCCTTGATTACTTTGATGATCTCATCCTGAATGTGAATTTTACATTCACGGCTATCTAATTGTCCTAGAGACAATAGATTTTTCTTCAGGCCCTTCACGTGTCGTACCTCTTGGATAGTGCGAACCGTACCATCAAACATTTTTAGTTTAATAGTACCTAAGCCAGCAATCTCTAAGGCATGGTCGTCTCCCATGAACACAGATCCTCCAGAGACAGGTTTATATTCATGAAACCATTCTTTCCGTGAGGTCATATGCCATGTTGCTCCCGAGTCCATTAGCCAAACATCAGCTAGACTTTTCCTGCCTTCAACAAGCGTTGCTGCTTCACCAAATAAAACTTCGCATTCATCCGATGTACTCACAACACATCCCTGAGCATTTGATGTCTCGGGATTTTTGCCTTTGGTCTCATCCTTCTTGAGTTGCCAACACTCATTCTTGTAGTGCCCCTTTTTGCCACAGTGAAAACACTTGACATTCTTCTTACCCCTTGACTTTGATCTACCTCGGTTGTGACTCCCAATGGAGCCAGACACCGTTGATCTTCCTCTCGTCACTGTCAACGCCTGGAATTGTTGTGAAATTCCAACTTTGCCTTCTTTGTTTTTGCGCCGACTTTCCTCTTCAAGAACCGCAGCTGCAATATCATCGAAGACAAGTATCTCCTTGTTGTTGACTAAATTGATAATGAGTTGATCATATGAATCCGGTAGACTTTGGAGTAAGATTTCAGCACGTTCATTCACTTCTATTTTATAACTCAAAGCCGAGAGTTGTGAAAATAGAGTGTTGATGTGCTCAGTTACTGAGGATGTCTCCATCATCCTGAGAGTGTATAATTTTCTCTTCAAGAAGATCTTGTCGTGCAGTGATTTGGCCTCATACAAATTTACGAGAGTATCTCATACCTCTTTTGCCGTACTTTTTTCCGCCACACTTGACAAAACTTCATCAGCAAGTGCTAAGTGCAGATTGGCAATAGCGTTGCTATCCATTTCTGTCCACTTCGCATCGTCAGTGAAATCGGCTGGTCTTTCTTCAATTGCTGCTACGCAGTTATCTTTCCTGAGAACTGCTTTCATTCTCATTTTCCACAAAGAGAAATTGTTCCCTCTGAACTTTTCAATTTCGTACTTCGCCGCCATTATAAGTGATGTTCTTGATTCAAATCCTTAACAATATATCTAAATAGTATTGTATAATAGAATAATACCGACCTTGAGAATTTACCAGTATTTATTCTAACATAAACAATACAAAAAGATATATCTATGAACCAACCTGAGGCTCTGATACCACTTGTTAGGATCGAAACTGGTTCACAACACCAAATTTACAATAGCAACTTGAACTGGAAAATATTGAGAATAAATTCTAGTGTAAGATTTAAAATAAATCATACACGGAGCAAAGAAAATTGAAGAAGAATTTTTTTCTGTATTGGCAAAAGGATAAAACAATAGGAATTACAAATATAACTCTCTATTTTTCTCTACAGAATTTTGCTATACTCTCTGTATATTTCGTATGAGATGAGAAAGGATGGGATGGGATAATCTGATGAAGGATGTTGCCTTATTTATAGCCATTCATGAGTCTAGAATTTTCCAAGCTAGAACCTATGTGCCTATAATGCTATTTCTTTCCCTGCAAGTTTTCTCCAAAACTTAAGCTCAGAACTAGTCCCTTAGGCAAATCTCCACCCAAGTCCCTTAGGCAAACCTCCACCCAAGTCCCTTAGGCAAACTTCCACCCAAATTCCTTTTAGGAAATCTCCTCCTAAAATCATCCCAGGCAAACTTCTGCCCATTCCACATTATAAATTTAATATTTACATTATGTGCAAAGTAAAATAAAAAAGTCGTAACGTAATTTTGGGGTTAGATCGAGCTTGAATTATTGTGTACCACATGAATTGTGTATCATATATTAATTAATTTGTTATTGTTAACATGTCTTGCTACAGACATTAAAGAGTAGGGCAGGGCAGTTGTTGGTATTTAAGAATGTTGTAACAGGTCCACTGCCACAAAAGGAGCTACATAACTGCAGTTGAGGATGCTCTCTTGCTCCCTCAACCTTTGAATATCTATCATTGATATCCACAAAATGTCAATATACACCCAACAATATGTCTTTGGAATTTGC